TTTTGTCCAACTTTAATGCCTATATTAAACTTTGTTTCAGTAAAATTTTGTATGTTTCCAGCATAAAAATTGCCAAGAAAACTTACAATTAACTCTCCTGAGCTTTTAGCAGCGTTCGAAAACAAACCGTATGGTACTGTACCGTAGTGTTCTGTACCGTTCCGAGGCGGAGGGGTACACTAAAATAATGTACCGTACCGGAGCACAACCCTTAAAAAATATTTTAGTGACTCTGTACCGGAGCACAACGAGAATCGCACTGTACCGCAGTCGGAGCACTACGAAATCGTAGTGTTCCGCAGTCGGAGCACTACAAAATCGTAGTGTACCACATGGCGGAACATTAAAAAAATAATGTACCGGTAGTGTACCACATATGTTTTGTCATATGTGAGGTCCTCCTATTAAGTTGAATGCTGTTATTGGTGGAAATCTACAAACGAATGTGTATATAGACGATCACCTGACTCCCGCTTCTGCCAGGTTAATGTATGTTTGCAGACAACTTAGAAACCAAGGGAAAATTACAAAATTTATACTAGTTAATGGTGATGAGCCTGGAGTTAATGTTTTGCTTCCGGATGGCAATGAACGGTTTCTTAGAATTGATGATTGTGAGGCATTATGGAATCATAGCTGAAAATTTTATTTGAATTAATTTTTGAGTAGTTCTTAAGGATTCTTCCTGAGTCAAATGTTATATTAATATTCTTGTTTTGAATTAGTTTTCATATTATTATTATTTTTTTTTTCTTTGAATATGTTTTTTTTTTTTGCCTTGATTTCTTTCTATTTTTCTTTTGTTTTATAATTATTTTAATATATAATCTCCTTTTGATCTCAATTTCGGTTTCAATTAAGTTCCCCAGCATAATATTTATTTTTATTTCCAATGATTTCAAATAACCTCGGTCCTATTGTTGGTAATTCGTCTTTTTTCAAAAACAGATTGAGTCAATATTCAAATTGTATGTCCATTGGTCATCTAAATTGTCATAGTTTGCGTCCGTCCATTTATAATACCACCCTTTGTGAGCTTAAAAATCTTATTTGTGATAGTGGTTTTGGGTTGTTCGCTGTTTCCGAGACTTGGTTGAAACCTTACGTTTCGTCGAAAACTGTTGCGATTCCGGGCTACTCATTTGTCCGCAATGACCGACCTAGCGCTCGTGGAGGAGGTGTAGGTATTTATATTTTAAAAAATATTAAGTATAAGGTGGTTTTTCGCTCTGAAAATCCTGGAGTTTGCGATTCTTTATTTATAGAACTTATTTTTGGTTTAAGCAAAGTCCTTTTTGGTGTTGTTTATTTGCCACATGGTAATATTCATAACTTTGAGGAGATACATGAAGATATTTCGTCCAGATACGAATCTATAATTGTTGTCGGCGACTTTAATTGTAACTTGTTCGACATTTCCAAATCGTCTGAAATGAGGAATGTTTGTCTTCGTCTTGGTATATCAATTACTCATAACTCGTTGCCTACCCATTTTAATATTGCTACTGATTCTGTTTCTCTTATTGATTTTTTTGCCTGCAGTCACCTTTGTTCTCTTATCTCCTCTGATCAAGTCCAATGTCCTTCTATTTCTCACCATTCTTTAATTTTTGGTATCACTAATATAAATTTGACATCAGCAGAACATTTTTTTGAATTTCGGAACTATAATGATATAAATTGGGACGGTCTGCTTGATTATCTCGTCAATGTTGACTTTAGTAGTTTATATAGTACATCTGATATTAATTTACAGCTTTCGTTTCTCCAGTTGCTTATTGCTAATCTTTTTTCATATGTTCCTATCGTTAGAAAACGTGTTGTACATTCCTTGGATCCGTGGCTGAAATGTAAATCTATAATACTGGCGATCTCTTTGCGTGACATGGCGTACAAAAATTATTTAAAATTTCCTACGCTGCAAAATATGGCGGTGTATCGAACCCTCAGAAACAAAGCTAAGTCTATTCTTAGAAAGGAACGTAAAAAATATTATGAACAAATTTTCAATGGACTAAATGCTACTCATCTCTGGAGACAACTTCATGCCGGTGGTATCGTTGACAATGAAGTCAACCTCTCAACTGACTTTGATGTTAATGTTTTGAATGAATATTTTACTCAAGAAAATGGTGTTGGCAATGTTATTGTTGATTTTCCAGATATTGATAGACAATGTCATACATTTTCTTTTAATTGTGTTTTCGAGATAGATGTATTTGAAGCCTTTCAGCAGGTCAAATCGAAGTCTGTAGGTGTTGATGGAGTACCCATTAAATTTTTGAAATTAATCTATCCATATATTTCTAGACATTTCACCTATATTTTTAATACAATGTTTACAACATCGACCTTCCCGAATGACTGGAAAATTGCTAGGGTTTTCCCTATTTTCAAAAATAAAGAAGGAACACTATTGAGAATTTGAGACCTATAAGTATACTACCGTCGCTTTCTAAAGTTGCCGAACATCTCATAAGGCTGCAGATTCAATCATTTATAGATGACAATAAATTTTTGATTAATTATCAATATGGATTTAGGCGTGGTCTCAGCACTACTTCACTTTTAGTAGACTTAACTGACTTGATTAGAGAGACAATTGATGGACGTGATAGTGGTGTTCTTGTTGCGCTGGATATTTCGAAAGCATTCGATTGTGTGGATCATTCAATGCTGATTGAGAAACTGTTCTCATTATATGCATTTGACAGTAATTCTTGTAAATTAATTGCTTCATATTTATCTGGACGTTCTCAATATGTTTCATATAATGGCGAGGCATCCAGCTTACGTAATATTTACAGCGGGGTACCTCAAGGTTCAATTTTAGGTCCGCTTCTTTTTGTTTTATATGTCAATGACATTAGTAGCATTCTAACTAATTGCGACTGTCATCCGTTTATGTATGCGGACGACATTCATTTATTTTTTAAAGGTCAATCAGACTTTCAACTAGAGAATACCATAAATACAACATTAGGTAATATTTCACGTTGGTTGAGAAATAATAATCTAGTAGTAAATGTTTCTAAGACAAAGGCAATGGCATTTGGTTCACCTTGTCGACTGAATAGCGGTATTAATATACAGGTTAATGGTGTAGCGGTGGATTTTGTTGACCGCATAAATTGTTTAGGTGTTGTTCTTGATGCCAAGCTTGATTTTTCTTTGCATATTGATGCACTGTACCCCAAAGTTATAAATATGCTCCGAAAATTACACTCAACTGATTTCTATTTGCCCTTATTTGTAAAGAGAAATCTTGCTCATTCTATGTTATTTTCGGTAATTTCCTACTGTATTGAAGTGATTTCTGGTACAACACATGAGTATTTAATGAAATTAGAAAAACTTTTTAACATCATTGTAAGATATGTTTATAATTTGCGTCGTTTTGACCATATTTCTGCGCATGTAGTCCTCTTTCTAGGAGTGTCATTCTCTACTTTTGTTAAACAACGCGTGGTGTCATTTCTATATAAATGTATCTGTTTAAATCTTCCTGGTTTTCAGCGAGATCGGCTAGTGTTCTCTCGGTCTACTAGGAATACGAAAATAATTTTCCCTCATTTTTCTACGTCTCTATATGAAAGATCTTTCATAGTTCGTTCCGCACGAATCTGGAATCAGCTTCCAGCTGAGTGTTTTTCGCCGCATGTTTGAAAACTTTGTAGAGGCAAATGGAGGTTAACAATTTGTTTGTTAATGATATTGACGATACTGTATCGTTTGATTCAATATTGTTTTTTTTTATTACCAGCAATAGACTTAAATTTATTTTCATTGGCTGGGGAGCCTTTTTGTCCATATTTTACATATGATTTCTTAGGTTACTTTAAGATACACTATGTAATATTTTTAAGATGTTTTTTTTTTTTTTTTATTTTGGAGTACACTTTTGTAGTTTTCTGATAGTTGTGATACTTATTGGCCTAATGGCTTTTTCATTGCAACATATAAATAAATAAATGAAATGAAACGAAATGTTTACGATTTGTGAGAAAATTAGATGTTATGTTTTTGATAATGCAAAAATTACTAATACAATTCAATATTATGAAAATAAAAGTTGAATTTATTTTATGTATGTTTAGAATGGTTGTGAAATTGAAGAATGTAGAAAAATATGGGAATAGGTAGAAAGAATAAAAAAGGACCAAATCTGAAGTGATAATAATTTGTATTTAACTATTGAAAATTGAAATTTGTAATTTTCCGCGAAAAATGGCATTTAGTGGTTGCATTGTAATGCGTTATTATTCAAATTATGTACCTTTTATTTTGTGTTACCAAAAAATTAATAAATGTTTAGTGTTTAAAATCAGTTTTATGATTTCGATTTTTTTAATGTGGTGCTACGATTTTTTAATGCTCTGATTGCGGAATACTACGTTTTTATAGTGCTCCGACTCCGGTACACTAGGATTTGTTAGTGTTCCGACTGCGGTACACTACGATTTTTTAGCGCTCCGACAGCGGTACACTACGATCATCGTTAGTAGTGGTAGTGTACAGGTACACTACCGCTAACATTTTTTTAGTGATACTGTACCGGTACAGTGCACTATGTTTGTGTACTGTTTATTTTCGAACGCTGGCTTTTAGGTACACTGACAATGTTCAGTAAAAATACAAATTTTGTGAAAATACAAAATATCAAAGACGCAGTCCCGCATATGATCTATAATTATTTTTATATTAATAGTTTTTTTTTTTTCATTTTAGGGGACTTAAGTCTGTATAACTTTTACTTTTCCAATTGTAGGGATAAAATATTCACGCGCAAGATTAAAGGAATTTTAGTTTTATGTTTAACAGACATTTTTATTGGAATGCAATGAAAATTGGAACTGTTAATACGCATATATTTGTATCTATTTAAAAGCTTGACTCGTAAAAACGGTCATACAATTAGATTACACAAAATGGGCAATATAATCTTACCATTGGGGGATTAAAATCCATGTTATTTAGTAATGAATATGCGCCATGGTATATACATCTATTAATTGGTAGTAATTTATTAATAAGAATACATATACATAGGTATATATGTAGATAACAAAATAATAATAATTATAATAAAATCTTAAATTGTTTTCTTCTTTCAGATGTTACTGCTTAGGAACAGCGTAATACATGAGGGGAATATGACAATACTACACAGTACATGATAGATTCATACTGAATGTTATGTTAAATAATTATATGATGATGACGATAAAAACGTATTATATTTTTAATATTTATAATTCAATTTAGAGAAATGGACGTTTAAATGTATGTATTTACTCCGAAAAGCAATGCATATGTGTCAGTGAGAGATATTATGCATATTTAATATAGATAATTGTTTCACTTAACTCTCGCTGACTTCTATGAATCTCCTTTTGTTGCTTTGATTGACCGTCATTTTGTATGCAGTTATAAACACGAAAAAAATACACAACAGAACAAAGAGTTATAGTGAATTGGTGTTGTGTTTTTGCATATCTGTAACTTAATGTACTCATATCAACTTAATTTACTCTATTCAATGACGTCAATATATTTATTGTAATTATTGTATCGTTATTATTGATATTAATGCAATGCATGCAATTCATTTTTAATGTGATGAATTTTTCTCAAAGGCATGTATTTACGAGTTTAATATCGACGATTATTGAACTGAGAATTTATAGCCGAGTTAACTGCAGTTGCTGTAGCTTCCTGAACATGTTGATTACGCATGAACTCTGTCGCAAATTCAGCCTGTGCCTTCGCCATACTGGCACCAGAACTCCTATATATTGAATGGATCTATAATTAAAAGAAAAATAAGTTTAAAGTTCCTATGTGCGCAAAACCTTATTCATACATTACCTTTGTAATCATCATTATATTTGCAGCTGCTGTGACAGCAAAACAGAAGGCGATGCAAAGCAAAAAGAGACCAACAACAATGTCAGCGGCTGAAGATTTAAACTGGGATATAGCGACTATAAATCCACAATAGCCACTCTTCGGAAAACCAATTGCTTGAAACACGGAAAAAAGTGTTTGAAAGAAATAAACGAAGAAAAACACCATGAAGTTAAAGCTGGAATCGTTGCGAAATGCTTTGTAGGCCGGTCGGAACCTTGGAAATTAAAATTATAATTGTTTACCATTACAGATTACATAGAATACAAAGGCTCACCAGCAGATATATGATGCTGGGGTGAAGAGCAGCGTATAAAAAATAGAAAGTCCGAAATTCGTAAAGTCGCCGGTATGCAATAGAATGGCTAGACCACCAATAATGTTAACACACATTGTCAAGGTATAAACTGTAAAAATGAAAGTAAATACTTTACAAAATGTTAACGACGATCAAATATGTTTTTGAAACATACACATCCATGTATAGTATAAGTGTTTGACAAGTCTTTGAAATTCTGGAGGTATTTCCAAATTAAAATCTTGGTAAAAACATGGTTTAACACAGAAATTATCGGGCAATGGTGGCCAGTTATTAAGTTGTGGAACATTTCCTTGCAATTGCTGTTCTCTTCTGTCTAATTCCGCTGCTTTGCGGTCCAATTCCTCCTGCCGGCGCTAAATAGAAATTAAAATAAATAATTAAATATCTTGTATGTTGCCTTGCAAAATTGTGCAGATAGTACTATTTTCTGTTTAAGCTAATAATATTGATTTCATCTTCCTCTACGGTGAGAAATCTGCAAAACTGGCGACAATTCAGAAGAAAACAATAAAGGACCAGTAGTGAGATTCACTAACTAGATTACTTTCAAACACAAAATTTTCAAAAATATAGGGTCCGCGATCTAACATTTTTTCAATTAGTGCTTATTTTGTGAATGGTAACACTTAACTCATGACTGATTTGAAAGATAATTACCTCGATAAGGTAATTACGAACGAATTTTGGCCTGCTAGTTCATTTGTAAAAGATTTTGTAGAAAAATCAGAAATTTAGCTCATATACCGCACTTACCTGCATCTTCACTTTTCCTGCTTCTAAAAAACTAAATTTGGAGTTGAATTTAAAAGAATGTAAGCATATGCATGGTACAACAAAAATACAAGGTAGATCTACCAGCTGATTACAATTTTTTTCTAAGTGTGCCCGACTACTGCCAATTTTGTGTGTTTATATATTGTTTTGTAAAATATAGCAACAAATTATTTTAAAAATTAATGATTGGAAGAAACGTACGTTGCAGGACGAGCTTTGAAGCTATTCGCCAGTTTTGCCATGGATTTGAAAGATCAAACTTTTAAGATCATAGCTGTACAAAATACTTTGTACATACTTTTGAGTGCGGTTGAGGCGCTGGGAAATTCTAACAATTTAAAATAAAGATTCCAAAATATCAGTTTCCCAGTTGCGATAAAATATCACATTTGTATATGTCGCATATGATAATGTGTAAAATAATAAAGGACATGACCCACACAAACATAAATATCGATGCGCCAATAGGTAGTCAAGATCACTTGAATGAAGGGACAAGCAGCCATGTAATAAAAATAGATAAGAACAATTGTATAGCTTCGATTAGGTTAAGTTAGATAAGTTTCAGTAGTACGTAAGGAACATATTTTAAAAATAAAAACAGAATTAAATCAGAATTCGAACCGTTAGGTTCTGTCTTTCCGTTCTCACCAGTAGTCGGCACTTTTAGAATTTTCGATTTTTCAATCTTTCAACATTCTGAGTGTAATCTTTCAATTGCAGAAAAATAAAGTTGTTCAGATTCCAAATGTTGTTTAGTTTTCGAAATAATAAACAAAAATTGAATTTGTTTTTATTAAAATGGCAAAATTTGCAATTTTACTAAAATAGTAGTTTTTTTGCCAGTAGTCGGCACCATTTTTCAATGCTCGTCATGTCTATTTGCCAGTAGTCGGCACCATTTTCCAATGCTATGGAGTTCCAAATTCATATCCTTATATCAACCCTACTTCCAAAACTTGATTCTCTTACAAAACTTCAGGATTTTACCTCGGACTTCTCACTTACTTCCAAATTATAACAAATTAAGAGCTATGTAAACCTTTAGTACACCCAAACCCAAATTGCACCCAACTTAGTACCATTTAGTTCAACTCTCACACTTAGTACACATTCCAACTTAATTTTTACAACTTATATCAAGATTTTAGCTCCATCTGTTCTCATAACACCAAGTGATTCGAAATTTAGAGCTATTAGCTCACATGGTTCGAATTTCAGCGACCCTCATTTAAAAATTCAGAATCTTAGCATTATCTTTTTAAACTATACTTGATTCAATGTTTTATACATTTGAATACATTTAGTACCCTTATCCCACCCCTACACACCAACATTGGTCTACATGCAAAATTTCAAGATTCTACCTTCAGCCGTTTTGCCGGATTATACCAATATCAAATTTAGTACCGCTCATTCGTTCTTTTTCAAAACCACTTCATATCTCCACCCTACACACCAATATCTATAATACAAATTTTAGTACCTTTCGTACATCTACGGTACGTTTTTCCATGTCGCAACACTACACACCAATTCTGACCCCAACAACGAAATTCAGAAATCTATCTCTCTATCTAATTGTGTACCATTTACAACATTTTGAACTCCTGTAGTACTTATTTCCAAAAATAATTCTAAATTTAGGGTCTCCAACTCTTTAGGTTCATCCAAATCCAATTTGTACCAATTTTAGTACCATTTAGTACAAAACAAGTACGATTTTCAAGTTCCTACATAACCCAATCCTACAATGCAATAGTAATCCTAATTCCAAATTTCAGGATACCAGCTCTATCGGTTCACCCAAGTCCAAATTGTAGCCAATAAACCATTTGGTACACATTAATACAAATTTCCATAACTATATACATCATACAATCCAATAGAAATCTCTTTTTTTCCAAATTGCAGGATTCCAACTCTACCGGTTCTCCCAAAATTTAAATTGCACCAAATTTTGTACCATTTAATACACATAAGTTCGAATTTCCAAAACTTCCCACATACCTATCGGTTCTCCCAAAATTTAAATTGTACAAAATTTAGTACTATTAGTACTCATAGGTACGAATTTCGAAAAACGGTATAAATAGTATGAACAGAAAAATTTTATGAACACATCTGGCAACACAAAAGGACGCATTCGCAATTTTTTACAATGGAAATTAGAAATAAGTGCTGTCATTAAATATTTACATAAAAAAGGTTTATCGGCACAAGAAATTCATAATGATACTGTGAATGTGTTAGGTGAAAGTGATTTTTCATATGGAGAAGAACAATTACAATAATAAAAACAAACCGCCAACTACCACCAATGACACTATTGTTTCCAAAGAAGCAACGACCAAGGACCGGCCACAGGACACGATTTCCAACTCGGGAGGGGACGACTCTATACTGAACTACAGTGACGTCATCCATGACAATATTCAGCGACATAGCGAATAATTGTCCGCCCTCCTGGAGAAGACAGGTCAGTCAGGAAAGTATTCCTTCTGGCTTTGGAGATGACTCACCACTTTCGGATGAGGAACTTGTCATCACGGTCATTTCCTCGTCTCAAAGTGGTAAGTCATCTCAAAAAGCCACCAAGAACACTCCCAGCGAGACTTGCGCAGAGTCCCAAATCCAGAAGGGACTAACGTCGGTCACTTCCGATGTCACCAGCCTCGATCGGCAAGACGCCATCAATGTAGGTACTGGCGGGGATCCTACCAGAAACCCTACCTCTCATGATGGCGCCGACCCAAAGGAGGCGAAAGCAAAGCGGGGCTATAAAAGGTCGGTAAATTATTGTAAAAAATTTATCGGCCAAGACCCCGCGCAGATAACGGAGAGAGAGAGAGAGAGGGTTCTGATTAAGATGAACCTCAAGGTAATTGCAAAGTTCGAAAAAAACCACCCGCACTTACCAAGCTGTTCTCTTAATCGGACTCTTCTACCTCTCCTACAATCTGCTATCAGCAGTAGGGTAAACCAACCTGTGGTTCAACCCTCTGCTGAAGGCCCTGCGGAGGTCAGCAAATCCACCGCCGATAACAAGACCACCACGTTCGTTGTTCACGAGGTGACGGCTAATGCTGACCCTGCTGGGTCAAATCCACTTGCCAAAAAGCGCAGGAAAAATAATGCCAAGAAACCGAAGCCCATTATAGCCGTAGCCTCTGCAGTACCACCGGAAGCCGATACCTCTTCACGCCCAGCGTTGAAAAGGGGTCGGTCTACAGAAGAACCACACCCTGAGGCCAAGAAGGCATCCACGGGCCCGGCTTCTCGGCCTTTGCCTACAACTTCCACTCCGTCCGCTAGCAAGTCGGTCGTGACTAAACCGCCCCCACCAGCCCCTTCAAGCTCTAAGCCTGACAAGGTCCACAAAGGAGAGGTCAAATCACAAACGGCAGGCCAAACAGGACGGAAGAGGAAATACTCACAAACCATCTACCCGGACGACCTCTGGCAGGGATATGAGCTGTATCCTTAAAGGACATCCCCTGTTGTAAGGTATTGACAGCTTGGGTGCCACCACCATCCGTGGATCCGGCACGCATCCTGACAATACTGGGCAAGCAGAACCCCAACCTCAAAACGGACAACTGGCGTCTTGTCAGTTCAAACGCTGAGGGAGGGGGCCTGGTCATCAAAGTATCTATGGATACGGATGGCCAGGTATACCTTCAAGCTCGTGGGGAAATTGCATTTCGGCGCTGGATGGATCCGTTTCCGTCTAACGCCGTTGCATTAGGTGGAAGAAAACAGCGGCTACTTAGCATCATGCAGATTAATCTGCATCACTGCAAAGCAGCTGCTGCCGAACTCCTCCTATCCCTCTCGAAAGCTGAAGTAGACATAGCTCTGGTTCAGGAACCCTATATATACAATAATAGGGTAAATCTTATCTTCCTTAGCAACTACAGTGGAGACGTTACGGTAGCGAGATTGGAGTCTAAATCCGGGAGGGCTCACATTTTCATCTCTCTCTATCTACCGCACTTGCGACCTGACCCACCTGGCCATGAAGTAGAGGGGCTGCTCGAAGATCTGGCTGACAAAGGGCATATAATCATAGGTTGTGATGCCAACGCACACCACTTCCAATGGGGCAGCAACGATACCAACGTCAGAGGTGAGTCCATTTTTGATTTTATCTTAAAATATAATCTCAAAATTTGTAATAGGGACAACGATGCAACATTTCAAATCAAAGATAGGGCAGAGGTCATTGACCTCACCCTAACTAACAAGGATGAATCTCTAATATATAATTGGAAAGTCTCTCCTAAGTGCTCGTTTTCAGACCACCGGAAGATAGTTTACAAAGTCTTAGTAGATGGTATTCTTAAAAAACCACATAGAAATCCAAGAAAGGCACATTGGGACAAATTTACGGAACTGGCTATACCCAGGCTTCACTGTTTCGACAACATGGTCTTAACCTCAACACTCGATATAGACAACTCCGTAAGTGCGATATCGAGTGCTTTGATTGATTGCTATGAAAAAGTCTGTCCGCTAACCTACCCAGGGAAAAAATGTCAACCAGTTTGGTGGTCAAAACATTTAGCCAACTTAAGGAGGGACAGTAGGCGACTGTATAATAGGGCCAACGCCTATAAGCATCCTTTGGGATGCTTATAAGCATCCTTTAACAAGTACAACAGTAAAATCAAGAAGGCCAAGCGCACCTCTTGGGTATGCTTCACGGAGTCGATAGAAAGTGTCAACGATGCCTCCAGATTTCGTAAAGTTCTTTCGCAGGATCCTAAATCCATAGGAAGTATAAAACGGACTGACGGCACATGGACTGTCTCTGGACTAGAGACTCTTAACCTGCTAGCCAACACACACTTCCCTGGCTGTATCGACACTGCAAGCAATCGGCAAACCGATCAAGTGCATCGTGATCATACGGCTAGAGACCAAAACCTGGCTAACAGAATAATAAGCTTACCCAAAATTAAGTGGACTATAGATAATTCAAGCCTTTTAAATATCCAGGACCAGACGGTATTATTCCCGCTACGATCCAGTCTGTCTGTCTTGTCTGTGTCTATCCTACATTCCGGAATCATGGAAAGAAGTCACAGTCACTTATATCCCCAAAGCGGGGAAACCGAGTCACTCACTTCCCAAGGACTATAGACCGATAAGTCTCTCATCCTTCTTATTTAAAACTTTGAAAAGGCTGATAGACATAGAGATCAGATCTCTATTACCCAAGACCGTCATTAGCACTGCTCAGCATGCCTATATGAAAGGTAAATCTGTTGAAACAGCGCAACACGATGTCGTATGGTATATAGAGAAGAACATGAATGGTTCCTTATTCACCTTGGCTGCCTTCCTCGATATTGAGGGAGCCTTTAACAACGTCACGCTAGAATCCATTCATGATTCACTATCAAAACTTAAGGTACCCCAACTCCTCATAGACTGGATTGATACCATGCTTAGCAGCAGAATCATCAACTCGAGCATTGGGGAAACATCCGTCAGGAAATCGGTCACTAGGGACACTCCGCAAGGGCGTGTCCTATCACCATTACTTTGGCTTTTGGTCATTAACAATTTAATTATAGATCTAGAGGTAACAGGGACGAAAGTAGTCGCATACGCTGATGACGTCGTCCTATTAATTGCCGGGAAATTCCTGCAAACAATCTCGGACCTAATGCAAGGAGCTCTAGTCACCTTATCACGGCGGGCGCATCGCAATGGACTAGGTGTGAACCCATCAAAGACAGAGCTCGTCCTTTTCACTAAAAGACGTAAATATCCTTCATTTACACCACCGAAACTAGATGGAGTCAGTTTAAACCTCTCGCTAGAAGCCAAATACCTTGGCACTATCCTTGACCGCCGAAGAGGAACACCGAGGAACGAGCTAAGAGAGGCTTGATTGCACTCTATTCCTGTAAGAATTCTATATGGGTATGGTCGCCCCCTGGGTCAGCAGGGGTGGGAAATTAGTGGCGTTGGGAACGTTCGAAAAGAAAAACACACAACTTACAAGGAGATTTACCTATTAAATAATTCTTGCGGTGAAATCAGTGTATAATAATTTATATTATCTACTAGATTCAAAAGGACTGCAAATATCCGATCGGTTAGAGAATGAAGTTAAACTTTTCAAAACAATAAAATATACCTGGAATCTTCTTTTCACAGAAGATTGTTATCAGGGGTGCTCAAGAAAAAATATCTCTGTTCAGTCAAATTTCTCTTTGCTTATTTAAATCAGGAACAAAACAGTGTTAAGTCATTATTTATACAAATATTTTTTATCCATTTGCTTTATAAATTATTTTGGCAAACATTCGTGTTTAAGAACAATTAAATAGAACCGTAAAGTATAAAGAAAAACAGAATTTTAATTTTCTCTTAAATTATCTCTTTTTTCTCTTCATGTTCTAGAACACGGTTTTGAGCACCACTGTTGTTATGGACAATGAACTAAAAGGCCTCCGAGTAATGTCGTTACAATTTTAATTGTAGCGACACATCTTCTAACCTAACCTCTAACAAGAAAGCGAGAGAATAAAAAAAGGAAAATAAGATCTGCAAAAGCACGATCCGGTTTAGTGATATCCTTCACTAAATGATGCTTTAAAATTTGATAAATTTACTAATTGTTCGCACTTTTACACCTTTGAGATTACTTTCAACATACCAAAAATACAAAAAAGTTTGAGAATAATATTATAAAAATATTTTGTCATAACAATTGTTCTGTTCCAGAAACTGAAAGAATTTACTAGCTTAGCATTTTTTTCGATATCATAAAGGGAAAATCGGTTATCGTAGTGAAAACTTTTACATTCTTGCAGTTCTGGAACAGACCAAAATTTTCAACAATGCTTGAGAAACACTTATGTTGCACAAATTTTTCTCAAATCTGTCCTTTGTTGACAAATTTGTTTTGATTTTTTGTGAAAATTGTCAGCTGTCTTTGGTAAAAAGGTAAATCATGCGAATTTAGGACACATTTCCGGACCGAATTCTTAAGGTAATGATGAATAATAAATCTGGGAGTCTTTTGTATATCATTTCAATCTCATTTCAGACTGGATATATCTAAAATGTTCCAGGAATTTTATAAAGGTATAATATTAGTGGAGGAGATGTTTTCCCAAGCTTAAATCTTGTGTTCTTAAGCTTATTGTGATATTATTCTCAAGCCATTTTGGTATGTTGGACTGTTTAAATGTTATAGCACAGTGTTGTCACCAAGAAAATTGCATATTGCACACGGAGGATGAAAATTTTTACACATTTGGGAAATACTACGCATGTTACAAAATTTTTTATGCATTGTTTATAGCACAAAAACAAACTTAAATTTCTTTTATACAAATTTTATATGAAAATGGATAACATAAATAAACACATTGTGTTTCATAAATCCGTTTTGCCTAAGTCTGGAGTATTCCTCCATTAGCTTAACTTCATATTACTCTCCATTACAGAGAGTAAAGTTTTTAAAAACGAAACTGGAGGCTTGGCAGTATTTGCTGATTGCTACAAATATTACGACTTCATCCCGGTGAAGGCAAAGGTATTTTTGATATGACGACTGGTGAAAAGCAAGCTTTAAGTGTCGTTATGTCTTAAGTGAATGAGAATCACACGTACCCTTTTCAAAAATCATTAGTTAAATATTCTTTCTGTAGAGGCTTTTAAGAAGGGAAGATTTAAAAAAAAAATAGTAGTGATGATGGTTTGGCTGATCGTGGAACAAAAGTAAATCATATAGTTGATGAATCAATAGTGGGTGCCACAGCTGATGCTTCTTTGAATGGCGGTGATGGGATATTTTTTGGTGGTGTGAGTGCAGTTGTTGAAAATTTGGTCCTTTGCAGGAGCTGCAGACGCAAAACTGATGCTCTGTTTGATCTTTACAAGGTTTAAATATGAATGTGTGGTTGAATTCAAAAAGTCTATAGTTGAGCTGAAGATGACAGTCTCTGAAGTTAAAAGTACGGCTTTGGTGGCGGATGAATTGGAATTTGTGAGCTTGAATCTTCTAACGATAGTAAAATTTTTAAACTTATCTTCCCATATATCTACTGTAATTTCCTGCATTTTGTCAATTCGATTTTTATGATTATAATATTTTTTTATTCATGTGCCGAAAACAGGTTAGTCACATCATATGTCGAATCTGCGTCTCATTAGCATTCTACCTTTTATGTCAAGATTTGTTGCACATATTATTAAAGATGCGATTGTTAAGTTCCTCGATGATCGCAGGCTCTTGAGACTATACACTTATCTCTTAATGATATGATTTGGGATGCCTTTAATTCATGTTCATGTTCAATTCAGGTTCTCTCTTGTAGAGCCCTCTCTAGATCATGTATGTCCTTCCTGACACGCCTGGGTGGGGAAGATTTATCCACCATATTATGGTTGGGATGACTCTCACGGAAACACCCAAGCAGGCACTGCAACGAAAGCATATGATTATGCTGACGTAAGGGAAGGACTTTCGCCTCCTCATGTAGATGGTCCACTGGTGTCATGAGAAGGCTTGCGCGGACGACTTGAACATGCTGTCGAACGTGACCCTAAGAATCTTGGGGTAGTTCGTGGTCGATATTAGAATCCCTTCGACCTGAACATTCAGCTGTGTTCTCATCTCCTCTGGTTCAGTCCTCTACTAATATGTGTGGAAATGGCGTATAATGCTGTTGTGGTACTATGTTGTGGACGGAATCCGTGCTCGTGGTTGACAACTGTATAGCTTCCTCTAATGCTGTGGAGGAGTAAAGCCTCAAGAGTCTTAGCTACTGGCGATAAAAGCGAAATCGGCCTGTACGATTCGCCTTTGCTGGCATCCTTGCCTGGCTTCAGTAGCGGGACCACCCGCTCCATTTTCCAGGTTTCCGGCACTATGTGGGTGGCTAGCGACAAATTGAGAACTTTCGTTAAGTACTTGACTCCCGGCGTATCCAGCTGCCTCAACATTACCATTGAGATTCCGTCCGGGCCCAACGCTTTGGATGACTTAGCGTTACGGATGACATTTGCAACATCACCCATTGTAAACTGTGGTTCCTCCTCGGCGGGAAGAGATCTGATACGACGTAGTACTCTTCGCTTCGCCCTATCGCTCTCGGGGTGCTCGACAAATTGTCGGTTAAAATACTCCGCGCACCTCTTCGGATCAGTCACCGTTACGTCGTTAAAAGTGATGAGGGAGATGGTCTGAGCCATGAGAAATGACGGGTTGCCAAGTCACGTCATTTATCAGACCGTGTGACACTATGGTTAGGTCTGGCGAACTGTGACACTCTCCTCTTATTCGGGTGGGGCATCCTCGTTAACCGTCCAGAATGTGGAGGAGTCGATCTGCTCTGCCAGTGCTGATTTCCTCTGGTCATTTCCTAGGACGGACTGCCACAACTAATGGTGGGCATTAAAATCCCCTAGTACCAGGCGGTTATTGCTTACCAAATATGGGCTAATATCAGGCAAATAACGCGGTTCACAGCTATTAATCGGCGGGATATACACATTAAGCACATCTACTTCGGCAGTTCCACACTTGACTGCTACCCCCATACATTCCTAACTAAAGACTAGCTCAAGCGAGATAGGTCTGTACTGAACAGAATTGTGTAACAGGAACGCTAATCCCCGCTTCCACTTCTGGTGCAATCCTTCCTTTGTACGTGGTAACCATAACAACGTTGTAGGCTGCAATTTTCATTCAGCTTGGTTTCCTGCACCGCTGCGATCTTAATATTCCTCCGACTCATAAATTCCACTATCTCATCTATTTTGCCTCGGAGTCCGTTGCAATTGAATTGCAAAAAAGATGCACAATCCAGAGTTGGAACAGCAACATGTGGCGTTAGGTGCTGCGGTGTTGGTTGCTGTTCTGGAGACTGCGGTGGAGTGCCATACTCCGACGACGTCTCTGATGAGGACGACGAAGAAGTGGACTCGCTGAGGACTACGCTTTCGCTACGCTTTTCTCGCCAACGCCTTAGTCCGAAACAGTTCTTGAAGTGCACCCATTCTCTACATCCATTACATCGCACCGAAACAGATCTGTGGTGGATGACGTTCTGACAAACCGAGCAGAACCAAGGTCCGGGGTTTTCCTCAATCCCGGCACGGACCAATGAAATCCGGAGCAAGCATTCCGGGATATGCTGCTCCCAATGCAGAAAAATAAACAAACACAAACATGTACATACTGGGTTGGCAGCCGCTGGCCAAAACTGCCGTGGGCGTGTTTCGTCTGACGTTTGTAGTGTCCAATGTGGAATCCCACAAAGTTCGTCGAATTGAGTTGGGCCAAAACTACCCTGGTTTGCCTAGGCTATATATTCATGTATAAAATTAGTTTTTGATGACAGGTGTTGTCTGTTTTTGTATGCATATGATGTCCACGTTTTCTTCAGAGAGGCTGATATTCCTAGGTTGGAGAAATTGGTTAACTCTATTGTTTCATTGTGGATTTCGTTAAATGGCCTTATTATAAATTGGAATAAAACTAAAGCCATGCTGTTCAATGACCATGGTAATGGTGGTACTCTTAATGTTTACGTGAGTTATGTGATTGTGGAACTTGATGAGATGTTAGACTGTATTGTCTTCTTACGTATTTGCATTTTAGGAAGACAGTGGATGTGTCCTCACAGGTTAATTATTGCCTGCAGGTCGTCTCTGGCACTCTCTGGTCAAATGCTGCGTATTGGTAGGGCAGTAAATTAAATCGCTCGTTATGTGTATGGCTTGTGTCGTGGTAATCATGTTTCTTGTTTTATTTTTGATCTCCTAGGATTGTCAACAATGTTGATCATCATATTCTTCATTACAGTGTTATGTGCAATTTTGACTCGTCTTCGTGACAAGTTTGTGTTTTGTAGATCATCACGAAATCCCCAACTGTTATAGGGATAGAAAAATTTTAAAAACTTCACAGGTAATCCATTTAATCCAACTACTTCAGACTTAATAGTACGTAAGGAACGAATAACGTCATCGTCAAACACGCTGTTAATTGAAAAAGAATGACCATGTCCAAGATACCCAGTAAGATCCACGGGAATTGTTCCCAAGGAGGAGGGAGACTGGACAAATAATTCATTAACGTTCAACGTTTAAAGAATTCATTAATGTCGAATGTATTCTCAATAGAACATAACTCCTCGCTCAAACGACCACCAGTACGTATCTTTTTTCACATTTCAGTGCAATTCAAACCTGCAAAGGTATTTAAGTAGAATTTTCTCCTCTCTTTTCTTAAAACTGATTTGTCTTTGTTTCTAAATAAACCAAAAAACGTCCAACTTGCCGCAAAGGTTGTCTAAGATACTAAGAGTTGTGTAAAATTGATGGGCATGGAATTTGAGACGAATATCTTAGTGATTGGTAACGACTTACAAGCATATAGCCAATTAAGAATGATGATGAATGAGAAATGTCAAAATGTGAATCTCTCATTTTCGCGGAGTTAGAAACATTAAATAAATTGTTATTGAAATCGCCAACACCAACAACTCACAACTCTTAAAAAACCTGCAAGACAATCAAATGGTGAAATAACCTGGTAAGGTAACCCTTTCAAGCCAGCTGCAACCAATGTAATACGCCAAAAATGTTGTTATAATTTGAATTAGCCTTGAACGGAAATTTAAATTTCAAGTAAAAAAATATACGTGGCGTGTTATGGAATGAATTTAAATCCCAACTTAAATTCATATTTTCGGTAATATAAATAAGTTTGAGATAAAAAAACATTGTAAAACTCGTCATGAACTTTTTTTGATTTCAGATTATTTATAGCACCAACGATTCCTTGAAGACATTAAGAAACCAGATTTGTGACCATGAAATACATATTTTTTAAATTTCTCTAAATTTTCTACATTTTAGTGATGAATCTTGTGTAAACATTCGCAATATGGGGACCAATTGATTGAAGTGTAGGTTTCTGTACATTACAAGTCACAAGAACAGAAAATGTCCATGCAAAATATTTTTAAAATTTTAATAATAAAAAAAATTATTTAATGGTTCAAAATCAAACAGGGTTTAAACGCCACCGCCTATTGAAATTATCCTTAGCCTTTCAGTGCAACTGCTATTATTGATTGACAGCCACGGCTAAAATAGCACATGATCAGCTACTTAGCTCAGCGCTGTTTTTGTTAAGCCCTAACAGAAAATAAGGCAAAAATTCAGCACACAAAACAAGAAATAGCTCGGATTTCGGCTGCTGCTATTGTCGTTTTAGCCGAATGAGAAGCCGAAAACATATTTTTACGATTGTGTGTTGTCATGTACAAATTAATAAAACATGTACATATGTTTTCGAGCTCGTCAGCTAATCTAAGTTTATTTTTGAATTGTAACTTACCAATATTTTTTCTAAACATTTTTGCTAAATATATTGAATAACAAAACTAAAATGAACTTATAGCATTCAATAACATTAGCATTTTGTCTACATATGAAAATACCAAATGGATAAAAATGTTGCTTTTTTGATGTTGATCTATTTTGATGCTAGCTTCAGCCGTTCACTGCAATTTTGCCTTTGCTGACGATTTCAAGTAGCTTTAGCTCTCTCGGGTAAATCTTTTTTAATGTGTTGCTATTTATTGGCGTAGCTCATTGATGGACTATATTTTTTGAAGATCATTTAGCAGGCCATTGCATTTTCGGTGCCATTGCTAATTAGGCGATAGCATTTTAAACCCTGAAATCAAACTGCCTAAATGATTGCTGTTGGTAACCGGTCAACTAACGATGCCCAAATAGCACAGAAGCAGGACGTGCTCGCGAGAGAATTACATAATAAAGTATCTTAGGCACAAATGATTATAAGCTAGATCTGTTTACACTTGCCATAAATTTAAGGGGCAATACTCCAACGCTTAATATATTACAATTTAGAGAAGACTTCGACGAAACATTTTCACTAGTGGCGACAGACGTTATAAGCAGTCAGTGCATTGAAAAAGTATGTTATTGAACATTTTGATATTAAGTCCGCTTTCTTGAATGGAGATATTCAAGAAGAAATTTACATGGATCAACCAAAAGGCATCGTTAAACGTTCAATTTGGGGACTTATAGACTTGTAAAAGGCGGATAAGCAAATTCCAACCAGACAATTAAGTTTATAGTTGAATTCATTTACTTTTTCGTCCGATATATTTTTTTTATGTTTATGTTATTACAAGATATTTTTTTATTTTCATGTTTCCAGCAAAATACTTGTAATGAAAAATGATCCGGCCATAGTCCATAGTAAACAGCATTAGCGAACATTCCAAACAACCAACTTGGTAGCATATGGGACACTGTATACCAGTTTTTCCTGAGTATGGGTGGCGATCCACCAGTGGTTGTAGTCTACAGGACGATGTATATAAACCGGGGTGAGTATACGTGTTACATTTTTTGAAGCGAGTATAGGAAAGTTAAATTAACATATTTGGCGTATATTTTTTTACAAACGAATTTATATCGTACAGGTGTTAAGAGCGGAAATCTTGGGGAAGAGATTGACAAACTACAAGCTAATATGTCGATAAAATCACTGAAAAATACTTTAAATCGCAAACAATTAATGACTGCCTAATGGTGGATGGGAAGTATCCTCGCCTGGTTTGATGAAGCTATATAATATAATAATATTCCTAATATGGTTGGAACTAATGCTAATTTTAAAATGTAAAAAAAATAGAAAACAAAAGCATTGAAATAAATTGTTTGTACTTTTTTCCTCTATTGCCAACCAGTATTTCCAGTATTTGAGTTATTTTTAAGCAGCTAATAAGACCAATTTTTTGTAGCCTTTGTTAGATGGGTCGCAATTCAGTAAACTTTGGCAATCACTGCTGTATACCAATGATTTTATACATTTTAATGATTTTAGTATTGCTTTATCGATACTCTGACCGCGTATTGTATTACTAGAAAAGAGGTTTTCACTGGGCTTATTAGGTCAAGTGTGTAATGAAATAAACTAATTTAGATTATGGTATCATTCTTGTTTCATTTTCTCATCTTTACATAAAAACCGAGAGGTGACAAACATTTTTATATATTATACATTCTTAATTTTAAGATTTTAGTTTCATTCGACGCTTTATCTAATTTAGGCTTGGGTTAAAGGTATGAATAAGAAACCATAGTAAACCCTCGTAGCCATGGGTATCACGTCTTTATTTTTAAATTCAAAGTGCATAACATACAATATGTTAACGTTTACTATGGATCATATTACTTACCTGCAATTCCTCTGTGGTTATTTGAATACTGGTGCTAGCTGTGGGTGCGGGGGCGCGTTGTTGTGCAGGTGGTAAGTTCTGCGACAGAGGTTGTACCACTGCAGCATTGGAATTAATTGTTGAGTTAATGTTTAACTGTGGCTTCGATTGTTCCTGCTCAAAGGGATTGTAGTCTTCTAACGAACTCTGAACATTTGTCGTTGTACGAGTCGCCTGTTGTATAGCCGGATCCTGTAATATGTCTCATTAAATACATTTATATGCTTTAGTGTAGTTCTTTTGTCACTCGTTCGTATTTATGTTCGGAGTAGAGATAAAGAAAAGTGAGTCAATAATACATACTCAACATGTATGCATATATTACAGTACAAGATGTTTTTTTTTGTTGTCTCTCAAAACACAAACTCATTGGACTTCTTACCGCAAAAGGGTTATCCAGATTTGGTTCTCCGAAAGGATTATCGTCGAATCCAGACATTTTTTTCCAATAATCAAAAGCTACCCAAAATAATAAAAACACTTTCTTCGGTACTTTTTACTTTTGAGCTGTGTCACTGATAGTGTTGAACGGTTAATAATTACTTTAGATATATTCATCGTACCAAGTTATAGAACCGGTACAAAATAAATCGAATTATTGATATTTCATAACCATGGAATAATAATAAGGGTAGTTGCATCAGCACAGCTGGTGATATGTTGTACAAAAAATATGTACTTAAAAATGAGTACATTTTCGAGACACATTGTAAAATTGTTTACATATCAATGTTCCAAATGCTAATGCATCAACCAAGTTTTCCAGTAATAAAAAGTGACATTTAACATTGCTCGGCGACTTTTTAGTGTGGACAATTTCATTAAATTTAACCTATATTTATACGAAGGTAAAGTTTGAATGTTTCAGCCATGGCATGAACAAAATATAAATTTTGACAATGAAATGTTGCCAAATGAATAAATTCAAAAAAAAAAATACACCTTCTTAATTCTGACATGCGTGGAGCGAACAAATAATGTATCTAATTGTTTTATTACCAACGGGTCGGCAAATTCTTTACTTCATTTCTTGATAAATCCCAGTTTTTTAAGCTTTATATGCAACAAATAAAGCTCAAGAATAAAAATTCCTCTTTAACTATATATTAGCTATAATAAGTTGATTTAATTTTAAACCTATTAAAAATAAAAATGTTTTGTTATTTTTCCTTCTATAAATTTAAAAGTTTCATTTGATTTGCAAAAAGTTTCATTTCGGTAGCAAATGGTTTCATTTCGGTTGCAAAAGGTTTCATTTCCGCTGCAAAAGGTTTCATTTCCACTGCAAAAGGTTTCATTTCCACTGCAAAAGGTTTCAATTCCACTGCAAAAGGTTTCATTCCCGCTGCAAAAAGTTTCATTTAATCTGAAAATGCTATAAATCAGATTGAAGAAGATGTTCAAATTTACAAATAGTCTATTTGTGGTCTGTTCCAGAATCTGCAAGAATCTACTAGTTTAGCAATATTTGTCGATACCATAAAGGGAAGGAATCGGTTATCTAAGCAAATAGTTTTACATTATGTTATGAATTGCGAATTATCTTTCTAATAAAGATATTATATGAATTGTGCATGGTAAAACTAAGAAGGTAAAGTCATGCAGTCATATGTTAACATTTTTTTTTTTTCAAAAATATTCATTTTACAAGACCTCATTATAAACATTAATGTTTACAAAAACATTGTGTACACAGGAATCAGAGATGGGAACCTGTTTTCTACGCAGTGAAATGTGACAAGGTAAATTACAGAAAATGCAGAGATGGACATCTTATTTGAAATGACCTGACCTTCTTAATTGTATCATGGAATTGTGGTAATTCTATGAAAATGTTGTGAATTATAACACTGGATAAAATATTTTAAAGAAAAATAATTAAAAAAATACAGCTTTTATGTGAGGTGATTTTTATTGTCGAACGTTTCAACGCCCCTCTTTCTCACCCCTGCCGAAAGAGGGGACGACCTCCGGACGATCAGCATCATGATGGGAATTGAGTTGGAAATTGAAAAACAGCCACAGAAATCTACTTCATCAGCTATTTCAAAAAACAATACAACTTACATATATAAGTAAATTTAAAAATAAAATTATTCTAGATTTTATAATTTCTATACTCATAATAATGCCAACATTACAGTACACAGAATTAAAATCAACACACATCTTACTAAGAGGTTTATCCGTTGAATAATTCGTGTGGTGAAAATTTGTGCATACTAATTCATAGCCTCTATTAGATCTAAAAGTAACATTTATTCTAATAGATGAGATTAGGAAATCTGAAAGTATATTACCATTTAATCTTTTTAGTATCATCATTGAGTCCAACATAATGCGCATGCTTTTTAGTGTAGGCAATCTGTTTAACTTTAACCTGCTAGTAAAGGGTGTTTTCTTTTTAATTCCGATAGACTTTGAAATTGTAAAAAATAACACAAACAATTTAATTTTAATCAAAAGTTTTTTATTCGAGAGATCAATACGTGACATTAAGGCTGGAAATACATAAAGCGCTTATCTGGCTAGCTTAAGTCATCGGCTGGCTTCTTTGGAAATGAACAAAGGAGCCTAGGGCCAAAATCGAACTAAGTCAACCTAAACCTCCTTTGTTCATTTACGAAGAAGCCAGCCGATGACTTAAGCTAGCCAGATAAGCGCTTTATGTATTTCCAGCCTTGGGAGGTACCGTCATATGGGGAACTATACGAAGACGTGGACATCCATTACGAACTTCAAATACGAAATATGAAATAATTCCGGTAAATAATGTCGGTAAAATCATGAAAATACCGAACATTGGGAGGTACCAATATATAGGGGCTATACAAAGACGGGGACCTGCATACGAAATTTTTTTCCATTAAAATCTCCCAATACGGAATTTGAAACGATTTTGGTGAATAATGTTGCTGAAATCATCAAAACACCGAATATCGGGAGTTACCGTTATATGGGGGCTATACGAAGACGTGGACCTGCATACAAAAATGTTTATCATAGGCTGTAGTACCCATTACGAACTTAGCCTTCTATCTCAATTCGTTCGAAAGATAGCGTGATTAAAACAGACAGACAGACGGACTTCGCTAGATCGTCTTGGAATTTTACGCTGATCCAAAATGTATATATTTTGTAGCGTCAATTATAAATATTTCGAAGAGTTACAAACGGAATGGCAAAGTTAATGTACCCTCCATAGAATGGTGGAGGGTATAAAATAAATTGGCAAATAGAGCCAAAGAAGATATTCCCGTGAATCCTAAATAGAACAAATCCTGAATATATACTGATTTTTAAGCAAATTCAATTAATCAAAATTATATTTAAAGAGCAGGCTGAGTTAGAGCATGCCAATGTATTTAATTCTAAACTTAGGGAGATAAAACCTGGACTATAGGCTTATAAGCAAGTTTTCGCGATAATTGGGAATAAAAACAAGTCAAAGGTGACGGAAATATCGGTAAATGGAAATAACATAACTGATTGAAAAAGAAAAGTTAGAATTTATGAATTCATTTTTAGTCTGTGTATCAAAATTCTCCTCCAAGTAGAAGTTCTTCATATGTGAATGGCACAATACATCAATCTATTTCTAGTGCACCAGATATAATGCTTGAATTTTCTAACGATACTAACGCGTTGAACTGTCAAAATACCTGCAATTTCACGTCTTTAAATTCCATCGAAGAAATTGTAAAATTAAAAAATAACAAAAAATTGTCGGTTATTAAAGAAAACAAGCAAACAAACAAGCTGTGAATTCGGGGAAGTTCGAACTTTGAATAATTTATAAAAATTCCGATGGAAAATACATATCATAAATGTACCGAATATAGGGAGTAACCTTTAATTTGGAACCTATGCGAAGATGTGGACCTGTATATCAAATTTTTGTCATAAGCAATTGCGATATTCTGATATGAAACTTAAAGCAATTCCAGTGAATAATGTCGCTATAATCATATAATAAAATACGGAATATAGGGAGGTACCGTTATATGGGACATTTACGAAGGCGCGGAACTGCATAGACAATAGTCGATAACAGACTGCAGCACCCAATATGAACATACAATACGAAATTTAAAACAATATTAGCTAAAATCATCAAAATACCCAATTTGAAGGGGGTACCGTTATATGGGACCTTTACGAAGTCGTGGACCTGCAGGGACAATTTTTAGTGACATGCTGTAGCACCCATTACGAACTTACAATACGAAATTTAAAACTATTCCGGTTGACAATGTCGCTAAAATCATCAAAACACCGAATTCGGGGCGGTACCGTTATATGGGACTTTTACGAAGACGTGGACCTGTATAGACAACTTTTGGTGACAGGCTGTAGTACGAAATATGAAGCTATTCTGACGGATAATGTCGCTAAAATCATGAAAATACCGAATATAGGGAGGTACCCTTATAAGGGACCTTAGACATTTGACGGACATCGCAAAAACGACATAGAATTACTAGCTGAACCCGGTATATGGAACCCGGTATTGAAAATCAGGCTCTAGAGCAGTTGGCAAATGACCGGTTTTGTGTTTTTTTTTTTTTTTAAATATGGATGACATTGATCCGGAGGAGATGTGGTTTCAACAGGATGGCACTATGTGCCATACGGCGAACGCAACCATCGACTTATTGAAATCAAAATTTGGCGATAAATTGATTTCGAGAAGTGGACCTGTCAATTGGCCTCCAAGGTCGTGGGATTTGACACCTCTCGATTATTTCCTGTGGGGCTACGTAAAGTCACTGGTTTATGCTGATAAACCAGCAACAATTGACGCCTTGGAGGCCAGCATTGTTCGTGTTATTCGTGACATACGGCCAGCAGTGCTCGAAAAAGTGGCCAAAAATTGGACGTCCAGAATGCACTTGGTCAAGAACAGCCACAGTGCCTATCCGAAATCATTTTCTGTTAATCACTGTTAATGTCACGTATTGATCTTTTGAATAAAAAAAAATTTGATTAAAATTAAATTTTTTGTGTTATTTTTTACAATTTCAAAGTCTATCGGGATTAAAAAGAAAACACCTATTACTAGCAGGTTAAAGTTAAACAGATTGCCTACACTAAAAAGCATGCGCATTATGTTGGACTCAATGATGATACTAAAAAGATTAAATGGTAATATACTTTCAGATTTCCTAATCTCATCTATTAGAATAAATGGTCCTTTCAGATCTAATAGAGGCTATGAATTAGTATGCACAAATTTTCACCACACGAATTATTCAACGGATAAACCTCTTAGTAAGTTGATTTAAATTCTGTGTACTGTAATGTTGGCATTATTATGAGTTTAGAAATTATAAAATCTAGAAACAGAAATCTGTAACTGGTTTTCAATTTCCAACTCAATTCCCATCATGATGCTGATCGTCGGGAGGTCGTCCCCTCTTTCGGCAGGGGTGAGAAAGAGGGGCGTTGAAACGTTCGACAATAAAAATCACCTCACATAAAAGCTGTATTTTTTTAATTATTTTTCTTTAAAATATTTTATCCAGTGTTATAATTCACAACATTTTCATAGAACTACCGCAATTCCATATGACCTCATGACTTTACCTTCTTAGTTCTACCATGCACAATTCATATAATATCTTCATTAGATCATTAGAAAGATAATTCACAATTCATAACATGATGAGTATTTTTATGTTCCAGAAATGCAAGAATGTAAAACTTTTTACTTAGATAACCGATCCCTTCCCTTTATGATACCGGCAAATATTGCAAAACTAGTAGATTCTTCTATTCTATGATTCTTCTATATATGATTTTTTAATTATTGATGCTTCTGTTTTCTATTGCCTAAATAAGAGAGGTGTAAGTCGCCGCTTTCCCATCATCATTGGCGTAAGTGGCACAAAAGTCAAAATTACAAAGTAACTAATCAAGAGTATTGCATCCTCTTCTTTTGAGGATATTCAAAAAGTACACAAAAGGAAATGGTTGTCATATAATGAGAGGTCATTCCTCAGCCCTAGGGACTTAGTACCCAACAATACACCCATTTGATTAAAAATAGCTTATTCAAATCCGACAATGGAATAATAATAAGCCAATGAAAATCTATATATGAATAATAAAGTCCCAAAAAGGCAAGGGCCTAGATATCCTTACGAATTTAGGGCAATTGCACTTTTATCAGCTTTTATGGAAACCCCTAACCTTATTATAAACACATGTACATACTGGTCTTCACTGGATCTTCACTCCTTTAGTGGACTGGATCTTCACTCCAGAAGATCTATGGCTACAGCCCGTTAAAGTAGCCGAAGCTAGAACCAGGTTAGCAGAACGCAAACACATGCATATACTACAACAACAACAACCTTATTATAAATGGTTTGCTATACAGCATCCATTACCATAAGGAGCTTGGTTATTATCGTATTATCGTGATATCTCCAAATCATACGATTGCGTGAAAATTGAGCTTCTCTTCATAATACTAAAAGTCTTTATAATACATCTACGTGGACAATAAACTTTCTGAAGCAACACACATTAGTCTGGTTAGACACTTGAAATTTACAATGGTCTTCCCCACTCACTCTTCGACACTCAATTCGCGGATGACTATATCTAACTGTCGAAGCAAGAGGTTTTGTCACAGCAAATAACATCTCCTAGTGTAAGGTAAACGAGTTTCCCTGAAATATAGATAAATTCCTTTGACAAAATCAAATATCTTGGCCAGCACATTAATAGTAGCCTTACATTAAAAGACCACTACGATGAGGCAATTAACTCATGCAACACCACTCTTAATGCACTCAAAATGATTAATTTGTCAAAGGCTGGTATACATCCAAAAATGTTAACAAACTTAGCAATTTGTGGAGACGTGAAATTTAAAAGACTCGTAACTTCGTTAAAATTGACAAATTTTCGACAGGGTGTTTCAAAACATTGAATAATAAATAATAAATGAACAGCTTAGGCATTTTTGTCTGATTCCGGCAAACTATTTTTTCTTGGGGGAAGGACTCGGGACCCCAGATTTTTCACCCGAATCCACTTACATGATATAGACAATATAGGTATCGTTTGTTTACTATCAATACATTTTATCATGATGGAGGAAATACCAGACAAAGACATAGAAGTATTAAGATGGGACAAGACAGAGTCAAAATATGGTCACCCATAACAACATACTCACCAATGTTCAACGAATTTAACAGTAAATGCAATTTTCAATTGATTGAAAACGTCAATGGAATGCAATTTGTATTCCAAATTGTTGGTTTACAAAAAATGTTATTCTTAAAATTGCCCTGTAAATATGATTTTAATGCTAACATGTCATTGTTGTGAGCAGCGCCCCTATATATTCTTCACATTAACTAATTTTCCATTGTGCATTTTGTCTAGTCTTTACGATTTGAGGGGTTTGTCTGGTACAAAGACTGGACAAAATGCATAATGGAAAAATAATTAATGTAAAAATGCTGATAGGGGGTCGAGGGTCTCTAGAATGAAGTGCCTGTACCGTCATCTCGTTTTATACTGCCTATGGACTTGGGATTCTTAAGTCTGGCAAAAAAGTCAGCAAAATCCACTTTAACTCACTTTATAAGCTTTCCAATCGGAACTATGTTTAGTTTTCCTGGCCCAGTTATCTGACGTTCTTGCTCTTTTCTGGAAAAAAAAACAGGTCCTCAATTCACCAAACCGGCTGGGATTTCCACCCAGGGAAGGTGATTTGGCTAGATTTCCCATAGCTTGAACGAAGGACGCTTGTAACAACATTCACTGCTCTCCCTGTTTAATTTCAGATTTTGAGAATCATGTTTCAACTCTGACGTAGGGGATTTACATTTCTGTCCTTCTTGGTTTCCTTTAAGATTTCTGTCTGACACCTCATCCACCTGGAAGAATATCATCTTATGCTCTGAGAAGAAGCACTTTTCAGACTTCTTCCAATTGCTAATAGCAGAGTCGTCCATATTGGACGTGGTGATGTCAATGACTTCTCTGCTAAACAGTTTGAGTGTTAACGACATTAGATATTTTAAAATAATTGTTGGGAATAAATTGAATATTGACACACCTCCAACATTCGTATAACTGCTTCCGCAGTAAAAGTGATGGGCGTTTGCGACACATCCCAGGTTAATGTTGCATGTGCCGCACACTTTCTTTAATGTTGCATGTACCGCACACTTTGGCGGATCCGTGTCTTCATAAGGCATGTAGATTGAGAATATCAGTAGTGGTTTACCACCACCACCTTCTTCCAAGAGGGTTAGCTAGAGTTCAGCAGACGTAGCCTTGCAATTATACATTAGGCTTGTCCACTACTGCATGCTTTGTGGGAAGCTGATGTGAATCCTTCGCAACCGAAAGCTTTGGTCATCCGTACATTTCGCTGTTCGACCTTTGGGGTCAGTCTTATCAATGACCGCTAGTCTAAGGGCCTCCGGTACCATCCGTTGAGCAGATTGACTTTTTTAATCTTTTCATGTAAGTAAACTTTTAACAATTTGGAGACGTCCTCCAAATTATTTTATGTTAGTCTTTTTAGATCAACCCCCTTGAAAGGGCAGCTAAAAAAGGATGTAAAATCATCAAAATATTTGTAAATTTATGTGTTAACACTTTCCCCATGCCTTTCTCCAATTGTGACTAAAACTTTTCAAAACTACAATCAATGACAGCAGAAAAGGATCACTAATCTTCAGTAGCACTGCCATTTTTCTTTTATCTTCATCTGCAATACTTTTAACTTAACGAAGAGTTTAAGAAATTTTGACATGATTGACAGAATATATATCTATCAAGAATAGTCTCGGCTTCATTTACTATTTTCAAGTATATTTTAAATTAAGCTTCTGCTTTTATATTTGTGCAAACACCGTGCTCTATAAAGTGAAAACGTTACACATCTAATGCCTTTAACATTTACTATATTCGCATTAAGATCTAACGTCCATCCGAAAACATATATATGTATCCTTTCTTGG